ACTGAAAAAGAGTGCCTCGCAGTCATCTGGGCAATAAACAAGTTTCGACCCTATCTTTATGGTAGACCGTTCAGAGCTGTCAGTGACCACCATGCTCTATGCTGGCTGGCAAATCTCAAGGACCCGTCAGGTCGACTAGCAAGATGGAGCCTCAGGCTGCAGGAGTATGACATTACGGTCGTGTACAAATCTGGAAGGAAACACAGTGATGCCGACTGCCTGTCACGCTCTCCCGTCGATCCAAGTGTACCTGAAGAGGAAGACTTCCCCTTTCTAGGCGTTGTCGACGCATCCGAAATAGCTCAACTACGAGATGACCCGGATTTGCTGGCGCTTATACAACACCTGCAGGGTCTCGACGTTCAAGTCCCTCGCATATTCTCCAGAGGGCTCTCCGCGTTCTGCCTTCGTGGAAGTGTCCTTTACAGGAGGAACTTCGAACCTAATGGTGAAACGTTTTTACTAGTCGTGCCCACAGCCATGCGAGAGGAAATTTTGCACGCATGCCACGACGAGCCAACATCTGGACACATGGGTGTGAGCCGAACATTCGCCAGGATTCGCCTGAAATACTATTGGTCTAAGTTGCTCGCATCAGTGCAGCGCTACGTGAAAACTTGTCGCCAATGTCAACGGCGCAAAACTCCACCCGTAAAACAAGCCGGCCTTCTCCAGCCAATAGACCCTCCAGATGCCCCATTCCAACAAGTCGGCATGGACTTCCTAAGACCTTTCCCGACATCGTGTGCAGGCAACAAATGGATAGTCGTAGCCACAGACTACCTGACCCGTTATGCTGAGACTGACTCTCTGTACAGTCCGATAGCTGCCGAAGTCGCCAAGTTCTTTGTGAACAACATAGTGCTCAGACATGGTGCGCCCATCGTTGTTATTACGGATCGGGGCACTGCATTCACTGCAGACCTAATGCAATGCCTGATGCGCATGACAAATACCGATCACAGAAGAACAACGGCGTATCACCCTCAGTCAAATGGCTTAACCGAACCCCTCAATCGAACTCTGACCGACATGCTATCAATGTATGTCGATGTTGAACATAAACAGTGGGATGAAATATTACCCTACGTAACATTCGCATATAATACAGCCGTTCAAGAACCAACCCACGTTGCCCCCTTCGAACTAGTATTCGGCCGAAGAGTGACCACCCCGCTGGATGCCATGTTACCACTACAGGACGAAAGCAGCTATCCACCTGACTTGGATGACTTCTTGCAAAGAGCCGAAGAAGCACGGCAAATGGCAAGATACCGAATACTCCACCAACAGCACGTCGATTCTAGTCGGTACAACAAGTGACACAGTGGGGCACTTTATCATCCCGGTGACAAAGTGTGGATATGGATTCCAGTGCGCCGCCGCGGACTCTCTGAAAAGCTTCTTTGCCGATACTTCGGCCCTTATGAAGTACTCAACCGTATCAGCAACGTCACTTATGAAGTCAGAACCGCTGGACACGTGAGTTCAAGACGCCGCAATCCCACGGAAGTGGTACACGTAGTCCGCATGAAACCCTATCATGACAGATCGTCGAAAAACGAGTGAGAGTGTGCATGTATCTTTTCACTGTCTTAAGCATCGGGACGATGCGTCTGAGGAGGGGGATAATGCCGCGACAGGTTGGCCACATTCAAGTAGCCCGCCGCAATCATCGTGGCAAGAGCACAAGCAAGACCCGGCTGGCATGCGCCATGCGTTCGTGCGCTCCGGCAACGAGGAAGATAGTTGGATCTGTGCCACTCGGCTACTCGGACTTGACGACCATAGTCTTTAGAATCGTGGGCACAAGTTCGCCCTAATAAATACGCTCGTTTTTTAACCTGTCTGCCTCAGCATCGCTACAGTATGTAGCGCAGCTAGACCGGACAACAAAACGGAACAGACAAACACAGTTGGCCTGTCTAGTAAGGCTACTTACAATGTTATTTATTATGTCGAAACACGAACTCACGCAACATTCACTTCTTCTAAAATGCTTGCTTAGCCTATCGTTCCTGCAGTGTTGCATTTACTTACATAATGCATACTGCATCAAAGATGTTTCTAATAAATGATAGCTTCTTTGCATTCCACAAACTGCATTGTATGTTGTTTCTTGCAAGCAGTCATTGTGTCTTTGGTGCTCGATTGCTGATTCTGCAAATTAATTTGAGCTTGCATCGAGCTGGAAAAAAAACCGACTTGCACATTAGCATGTGATGCCAATATTTTTATTGTATAATTCAATAGCACAACAAGTCCACGGGACACACAACACTTGCAAAACATTCCCACGCAAAATTTCTCGCAAACGAAAGGGTTGATTACAGGGCACGATTAGGAAGTACCATTCCAGTGCTCTAGTTAGCTGTTCCAACAGTGACGTCACTTAAAAAGGAATAGCTGTTGTGCCACAAGAGCACAAAATTTTGCCCTACATAATAAGTTGATGTCATGTGCTTAGGTACAAATATTTTTGCAGCTCCATCGAAGCTGAAATCGATTTCCAGATTGAGCAGTCAAGCACTGAAGAATCGCTGACCGGAAACAGCATAAAATGCAGTTCGTGGAGTGTGGAGAAGCTGTGCCTTATCACATACCTCTTCCCTGCAGTAGCCAGTATATATTGGACAAACAAGCAACTGCATGATCAATTATGGGAGGATTGCATTACACTGTAGAGCATGTCAGTATGAACCTTTTTTGCATAACTCAAAGGTTTTATCAACCAACAGAGTTTAACTAGCGAGATTGATAATACTACAAGCTGCAAAAAGTGCAAAAGTCTGTACCAGTTTTATTAGTACTCTGTCCCTGTATTGATGGATAAAGAATAGACTTTCTTGAATAGTGCAGTCGTCCGCGAGCTTATGAGTGTTATGTATATCCTAAAAAAAATAAATCTGAAAGAAGAATTTCAGTGGATCACTTCTTGGTTCAGATTGGGTGTACTGGTACTGTTTAAATGTTTGCCTCATGTGCAATAAACGATTCTATGTAAAGTTACTATGCATGTTGTCTCTCCATTTTTGTTTTCATGTTGCTTATACACAAAAAATATTCTTAGCATGTGCTGCCAACTAAAGCGAATTTTTCCCTGAACCAATGTAGTCTCATACCACAGCATTTATTCTCTTTTAACCTAACCAGCCTCTTGTATTTTTTTTATGCTAGTGCATGCTTGACAATCGTTTTCTTGCCTTTTTATGTGCAGGTTCTGTGTGATGTCAGTGCATGTGGAAAACTACAGGTTTTCCCGCTTACTTTAATCCAAATGCCAGCTTAAATAGTGCACGCATCACAAATAATCTGAGCGCCAAGCTATTTAATCCACGTGCCAAACATTTATAAAAATGCCAACATATTTAATCCAAGCGCCGACTCGATTAGACCATGTGCCAGCGAGTTTAATCAAAGTGCCACCATGTTCAATCCAATTGCCAATGGCTTTAATTCAGGTGTCAGTCAGTTTAATCCATGCACAAAAAGCAGAATACGGTGCATAAAAACGGCAGTACTATTGAAATGCAGTTGTTACAATATATGAGATAATAGTCTCAATGTAGAACAAATCATTATTATTTGTATTTGCCACTAGTATTTGGTAAAAAAAATTACTACCGTTGTTCGCTTGAGCCGTCTTTGTACTTTGCTATGTATAAGTTTGTAGATGAGTGCTTGGCCCGGTTGAAGTCATTTTAATGGCAACGAAAGAAAAAGCAGGAACATGTTAATAAATATTTTGTGTTCGTCACTGAAGCTCACAATTGGATTTGTATAGCATTACATGACTGGGACAGGTCATGTAATGGGAAGGACAGACTATGGTTATTGGAGTGCCGGAATGTATACCAAATATGGAAAAACCTGGCCGGAGGCAGCGATGGGTCAGGGTAGAGCGAAATAGAGATAATTTGAAGAGGTTCTCGTCCTGCAGTGCACATAAAATATTAACTCATGATCCTGATGTGAACAACGGAAGTAATATTTTACATTCATATTAGCTGTGTGTTTCAAGCAAACACACTTCATCAATGCTAGTGTCGCCTGTTACATGAAAACAGGAGTATCTCCTTTCATGTTTTTATAAAAAACTTAATTCCACATGAACCCGAATAAATGCAAGTTTAGTTTTTAAATGGTTATTTCTGATTTCAAGAATGGATGAATATCATCGTTCTCACCGGGCTGAGCAGACGACTGCAAACGCCTCAGCGAATAGCAGCCAAAATGTCTGCTGAGCAGACGACACGAGTCCCTGTGTGACATAGGGTCGGAAACGAAACAAAAACTGTAGGATCGCCATAGATGACGAAAAAGAAGAGCAGCACTAACTAACGGCGAAAGAGTGCGTGCCAGGGTTTGGCTGCGTTCGAGGCAGTTCTCGGCTGCACATCCAATCCGGAGAGCTCGGGTCAAATATTTGCATGTTTGAGGTTTCAGATGTCGCTTGGTCTGGACCAAGGTGTAGGAAAGTGGTCTGGACGTGTCGCGTTTTAGCTTCCGAAAATCGTAGTGCGTGCTTCTTCGTGACCAGTGCACATGCGAGCACTACCTAGCTGGAAAGGGCCCATTGTCCGCAGCGGCCTTACTACACGGCGTGTGGCTTAAGTTGTGGTGTGAATGGTATAATGATTCTTTAGCCTAAACGCTGACAAAATCTAAAAAAAAAACTGTTTCTGGGTCTCTTTAATTTGAGGAAACTATGGATAAGAGGAACCTACCAACGAAGAGCAGTAGGTGTTCTGTGATGTACCCTTCTACTATACTTCTACTGCCTCTGTCCCCGCGCTTATCTCTCATGCCTTCTCCGCCATTTGTACTTTTCTTTCATTTTAGAAATATTGCAGGACGCTGAACCCCCCCCCCCCCCCCTTTTTTTTTTCTGTCTGGCCTTATTCGGTACAGCCCTCATCATCATCGCCGTATGTAAGCCATAGCCAGAACTACCGGTGCAGCCAGAGCCGCCGGTTCGTCGAACACTGGGTTCCAGAGTTCTTTTCATCGCCCTGGTTTGAGAGTCGGCAAACATGGCGTCCGCTTCGTCGGGCCCCGACTGGTTTTCTAATGCATATGGAATATTAACTTCAAGTCAGACTTCACTCAAAAAATCTGACCTTCAGATAATTGTGAAGTCTGTCATACAAAGGTGAGTGAATATTTTTTGTTATGAGAGTGTCTGTGTTGTTTTGGCTCGTCGTTAGGGCGAACGCGGGATGATGAGGCATTATTGTCGGCGGATGTTTTTCTTTTCTTCTGCACCACTGCGAAATCTAGCTCGCACACTTTAGTTCCAAAAATAGGGCGTAGAGTTTTCATGAGCTTTAGTTTCATTGAATGTCTTAAAGGTATCTACTTGGGGTGCTTTCTGTAATGTAAAATCGAACAGTAGTAAACCGTCTTCAGTGTGATTCGTTGCCTGTCAATGTTTCGTTTGCGTTTGAAGCAATGTTCTCGTACAAAAATTTATGTTAACTTCTGACTATATTCTCCAGTGCTGGCGGTGATACCGTTTGTTCGTAAAGTAATTGCTAAGTAATGCGCTTCCGTTATACTTACCTCTTGTCTTGCTTCTGCAAAAAGTCTCCATGCTGATATATTGACACACACTAGGAACCATACAGCTACGGCTTTCGTTTGTGTTTGCCCTGGCACTTCAAATACAGCAGATATCCCAATAACTTGTCCTTTCCATACTCGTGAAGGTTCGCGTCTTCACATGTCAGTACCGTAAAAGTTCTTTCTTAGCTGTGGATTTGCTAGCGCGTTCCTGATAAGCAATACATGCGGGTAGTGTAATGGAATCGCAGTTACCAGAAAACTATCGCTGCGAGTATACAAACGGTGCCATCCAAGTTTTACGCAAACATTGGAAAGGTAAGCGCAGCGTCTCACTTTGGCTGTACTTACTAATTTGTACGAGCATGCCTTTGATTTACTTTCAGTCATATTCAGAAGTGTGGCGTCGTGTTGGGATAGTTTGTTCATATATTCAGCCGACGCTTTCAAATTGCGGGAAGACCGCATGCTAGAGACGCAGAACATGCACATACACGAATTGCTTCGTTTGTGTTCGTGTTCTATGTTTCTAACGTGCTTTCTATCCACGTGTCCGTTGAACTTTGTTCAGAAACTGTCGTTTCCACAGCTGAAAGACCTAATACTAGTGTTTCATACAACGGCCATTTTAGCCATGGTGATTTATTGTAAGGCCGGCGACGAGTGTCAACCATTTGCTACCACGTTTCCAGTTGGTGTGATTTGTATTAGGGGGGGGGGGGGGGGGTAAAACATTAAAAAAAATCGTAGCTGTTATATTCGTAGCATGACATTATCGACCTCGAAATTGCTGTTCCTGAACTTTCTTTTGCCTTGATAAATTGCCCAACATTTCGTCCACAAACTGTCCGAAAATTTGACATTTTTTCATTGCAATATTGCGAATGGCACCTGTCAGTACTTTCTGGTCTACCCAAATTGATGTTGTGTTTACTAAGTTGTCATGTGGCCCAATAGCTATTCTATACAGTTCTGCATGATTTTGCTTGAAACGACCAGGATTATATTTCGAAAGAGACAAAATCATAATTGTTGCGGACGAGTGTGCAAAGGGACAAAAACAAAATGAGGGAAAGACACTTTGGTGCTATGTATGACCTGGTATGACATACCAAGCTTGCATCGCCACCCCTATAGAATCTTGTGTATATTTATACGAGGGAGGGTCAGGGTGCTTGCACTTATCACTATCAAGAATTGTCACGGTCACTTGCTCAATGACCAATCCAAAACTTCTGTGAACTTTTTCCAGTGTAGTAGTCGTCTAATTAATCCTTTTTATTACATATTCACTGCTTCTTTAGTCAAGGTTAGCATTTGTGTCCTGCATTGACGTATGGTCAATCCCCCGTGGTGCAAGCGGCCTGAGCAATGGAAGGAAGGAAGGAAAAACTTTATTCGCATAGGTTTGGGACGGGTCATGAGCTTGATGGGTGGGGCCTCAAGTCCAGGGCTCCATTGTCACGGTCACTTGCTCATTGGCCAATCCAAAACTTCTGTGAACTTTTTCCAGTGTAGTAGTCATCTAATTAATCCTTTTTATTACATATTCACTGCTTCTTTAGTCAAGGTTAGCATTTGTGTCCTGCATTGACGTATGGTCGATCCCCCGTGGTGCAAGCAGCCTGAGCAATGGAAGGAAGGAAGGAAAAACTTTATTCGCAAAGGTTTGGGACAGGGGTCATGAGCTTGATGGGTGGGGCCTCAAGTCCAGGACTCCACTGGCTGCTGCTGCCTGCCTGACGTGAAGCAGAAGTGCAAGCTGCACCTCTGGGTCAGAGCTGGCGAGCAGTGCCTCCCATTGCTCGAAAGTATTAGAAAGCTTGTACTGACCTAAAAAAGTATCTAAATTTGGTGGTCGGTTTAGGCATCCCCACGCAATGTGGTAGAGCGATGGCGAGCCGCCACACTACGAACACGCATGCCCGTACAGCATTGGAAAAATTTTGTGTAATCTTTGAAGATTGGGAAAGACTCCCATTTGAATTTTGCGGAAATTGCGTTCTGCCTGTATTTTTTTCGCATGCCTCGTAGGTTAGCAAGAATTTCACGAGGGGCCATTCTGGATGGGTCATTATCCTCCTCAATAGCTTCCTCCTGGAGTGTTTCAAAGGATTGAAAGTGCTGTCGAAGGTCTTCTCAGTTCGTGAGGCCTCAAGCAAAAGCGTCGAACGTTCGTTTCCCTCCAGGCTTGCGTGTCCTGGACACCAGATCAGCCTGTATTTGTTTGTCAATCTCTTGCCTAAGAATTTGCTTATTTTTATCGGAAGGCGGCCTTTTAAAAAGAAACAGCACGCTTCCTGCGAGTCTGAGATGATAATTGTCTGCGGTTCATCTCTCTGTTCCTGCGCTTTGATTGCAAGGGCAGTGGCAAAACATTCCGCCTTGACGATGAGGAATGTGTACAGCAATGCATGTCACCATGCAGTTGTCGTTGCTGAGTACTGATGCAACTGACCATTTAAAATTGTACCTCGAAGCGTCTGCATACGAAACATTTGATTTGTTTTTTAATGTTTTTGGGAGCCATCGCACTCTCTCCTCTCGGCGCTTTTTGTTTGTTTTTACGTCTATATTCTTGGGCAGCAGTAAGATCGAGATCTTGCTGCGGAAGGGGTCCGGGATTTGTACAAGAACCTCGTCCAGGCTCTGAGGGTATGGCGCGAAGCCCACCCTAGTGAGTATCTCTCTCCCTGCTTTCGTTTGACTTGGACGATTTTTCTGCACAGTTAGTACAGCTATCTTTAGCTCATGGTATGTATTATCTAGCTTTTGGGTTGGTGTGCTTACCGGTAACCCTAGGGCCACTTTGTAGGCGCCCCTAATTATTGACTCGATGGTTTCTTCTTCTGATTCGTTTAATGCGTGGAAAGGTAGACTATAGGTAACCTTGCACAGTACAAGTGCCTGTACTAATCTAATTTGTGTTTGCTTCCTTCATTCCCTGTTTGTGGTATGTTATTTTATGGATCATTCATGCAACTTGTTTTGCGACTGATTTTAATATTTATTGTATGGTTCGCTCGTCCACTACTCTGAACCCAGTAACCCAGAATACGTGCGACGGTTAACTCAAGTATTTTGACACCTTCAATGTGTATGTTGATGTGTCCATTGCTTTTGTATCTTTGCCCATGTATCCTGATGATTTCAGAAACTTCTGGGGCACAGCTGAGCCCGCTGGCCTTCGCAAAGTTTTCAACTGCTGTTGCAGCCTCTTGAAGTATCTGCTTTTTGTTAGCCAGAGATCCACGTGTTGCCCATAGGGGTGTCTGCTCTTTTTTAGCCAGAGATCCACGGGTCCCATAGAGTGATATCATCCGCATAGGGAGTGTATCCTAACTGTGGCACTTCACCCAGAGCTCCCGTGAGTCCTAACATGGCGATATTAAAGAGCAGGGGAGAGAGGATGGCTCCTTGAGGGGTACCTTTGTTTGGCATATCAAAAGCGTCTGACGTGACTTGTGCTATGCCTATCAAAGCCCGCCTTTCCGTGAGAAATGCCTGGATGGAATTGTAGGTGTTTGCTTCACATCCGATGTTGTTTAATGCTGTTAGGATGGCCTTAAGCGATATATTGTCGAATGCTCCTTTTAAATCAAGGGCTAGTTTCAGATGTTCTCCTCCCGTGAGTATATAGCTTATAACTTCCTCTTATTGATTGATATGTGGGGTTTAACGTCCCAAAACCACTATATGATTATGAGAGACGCAACTTCCTCTTATAATAGGAGAAACGCATCCTCAGTGGAGAGGCCATTGCCAAAACCCAGCATAGTGGCTCAAAAAAGGTCGTTGTCCTCTATAAAGTTTTGGAGCCGATTGTGAATGACCCTTTCGTAAAGCTTTCCTATGCATGACATCAAAGATATGGGATTGAGTGCTTGCAGGGATGGCTTCTTCCTGGGTTTCGGTATCGTAATAGTTTTGGATACTTTCCCCGCAGGGGCACTTGCACAAGTAGGCGTTTGGTGTGTAGCGACACCACGGACCCGAGCTAACGGGGGAGTTTCTACTCCCTCCCACGCCTAGCCGTGCGTGGCTTTGCCGTGTCCGGGGAAAAGGGGATCCTGGGGGTTGAGCTGAAGCTGGGTGATTGGACCTTTAAGTCCCCCCGGCAGAGGCAACAACACACCCCTTTGGCCCCAGCTTCACGTAGACGGCACCCCTGGGCTGACCCACCCAGGGGAAATCGGTAGTCGCCTTTTCCTATTTCTTTCTCTCTCTACATCTTAGTCTTTTCTCGCCTTTAAATCTATCCTGTCTTCATCTCTCTTCCATTTACTTCCGATTTTTCCTGGCGGCAAGGGTTAACCTTGTGTATGTGCTCTGTCTTGGGCACAATACATTTGGTTATAGCGGCTGTGTACAGCTGACGTTGACATGCCTCATATATATTTAGGACTTGTCACGTCCCCGTGTTGGGCTCCATGGTGGGCGGCTGGCATGGCTGCCAAACTCACATTTAGTTTATGGCTTTTTCTTCTCTCCCTCCATTGCATGATTGTCCTCTCCCAAAGAGAGGGTGCACCGAAGACTTTTGCAAGTATTTCAGCAAACCGAAAGAAACCTTTCCCCGCTACCATGTAA